TCGTAATCCGATCGACGACGACCACAACAACGACGACGAGGAGGAGGAGGAGGAGGAGGAAGAGGACGATGTTACAGAATATTACTGATTGTATCGGACGGTGAATTTATTGGGCACGCCGCCGCGGCTGGAAATTTATGCGACGGAATTCAATTTACATTTATGACGGGCTGGCCGCGATTGCCGCAACCTGTGCCCGTCGCGAATAAACAAGCGGCTCTTTAGAATCTCGGACATCATTGCTCGTCAACGATGAAACCCCTGTGCACCCCGACGCTTGCACTCCCCGTGGAAATACATTCACACCTGTATTTATGTGCAGCACATCGAAGAAGTTAGAGCGCGAAGGAAAACTACTCGCCGTGGATGTACTCTTAGGAAATGTAGTTTCGTAATTACGCCGATGGACTTTGACGACGATCTGTGCGAATTTATGACCGATTTATGCTAACGTGAAACACTGGAGCTGGTGTGATTTTCATAGAGTACGATCTAGAGGATCGACCGAGTTCTTCGAGGTTCAGGAATTGCGAGAGAAATATGACAATTTAATTTGACGAAGAGGAATTTATTTGGGGTACGAAGGAATAGATTTTTGGAGCTTCGATTGTGCTACGAAACGCTCGAATTTAAATATAACATGTGTGAAATATTAGAGAAAAAAGAAGGAAAAGATAAATATATTTAACGACGGAGGTAAATTGAAACGTTTGGAAGTATCGAAGGATAAATATCTGCAGGGGAAGATTTAATTCAGAGTACGTGCCGCGAAACGAGCGTAACAGAATGGAGCACGAGGCAGCCTTGCGGGACGGTTTGAAATTACCGGCGGCGTATCGATAGGCGCGTCGATTTTCCGCGCTACCTGGCCAGCTCCAGGCATCGCTGGAATCGCGACGCGTTGCTCCGTCACGTGTGTGCATATACGCGGTACACTTTATAAATAGACAAGGTCTCGGGCCCACGCTAAGCCCGCCGAGGCTAGAGTGCGTTCGCTCTGTGCCTCGTCACACACACCCGCTGAGATATTTCGCCTCGTTCTGTCTTATCCAACTTATGCCACACGCTCTTCTTCCTTTTCTCTGGCTTCCCTCCTTCTCTCGCGGCTTTCCCTCTCTTTCGAGCTCTTTCTCTTTGCATTTCTCTGTGTTTCGAGCCCTCTTTCTCTTTTCGGCTCTCCCTCTTTTTCAAACTTTCTCTCTTTGGCTCTCCCTCTCTTCGAATTTCTCTTTCTTTGGATCTCTTTTTTTCTCTTGGGTCTCCTTCTTTTTAATCTCTCTCTCTTTGGCTCTCCCTCTGTTTTTGGCTCTCCCTCTCTTTGAATTTCTCTTTTTCTCTTGAGTCTCCTTCTTTTTAATCTCTCTCTCTTTGGCTCTCCGTCTTTTTTTGGCTCTCCCTCTGTTTTTGGCTCTCCCTCTCTTTTTGGCTCTCCCTCTGTTTCTGGCTCTACCTCTCTTTGAATTTCTTTTTTTCTCTTGGGTCTCCCTCTCTTTTTGGCTCTCCCTCTCTTTGAGTTTCTCTTTCTTTGAATTTCTCTTTTTCTCTTAGGTCTCCCTTTTTTGAATCTCTCTCTCTTTGACTCTCCCTCTCTTTTTGGCTCTCCCTCTGTTTCTGGCTCTCCCTCTCTTTGAATTTCTCTTTTTCTCCTGGGTCTCCTTCTCTTTTTGGCTCTCCCTCTCTTCGAGTTTCTCTTTCTTTGAATTTCTCTTTTTCTCTTGGGTCTCCCTTTTTTGAATCTCTCTCTCTCTTTGGCTCTCCCTCTCTTTGAATTTCTCTTTTTCTCTTGGGTCTCCCTTTTTTGAATCTCTCTCTCTTTGGCTCTCCCGTTCTTTTTTGGCTCTCCCTCTCTTTTTGGTTCTTTCTCTCTCTTTCAATCTCTTTCTTCGTCTCTCATTCTCTCTTTCAATCTCTCCTTTTTCTGGACACTCTCTCTACGAATCTCTCTTTCTTATCGTTTCTCTCTCCCTTTCTTTGGCTCTCCCTCTTCCACCCAAGAGATCGAGGATCAAAGCAGAGACACGCGCCACGCGAGGATTGCAGCTTCCGTCGAGGGAATCTTCGTCGACGACGTTTCCGAGCTCACGACGAAACGGAAACGTGACTTAGAGTATATAAACAACAGTTACAATACAGTCTGATTTATATCGCAGAAGATCAGATTTCTGGTACACGTTGTGAGAACAGATTTTCCTTTCTCTTTAAACAGTTTTGGCTAATATTCGAAGGATGGTTTCAAGTTTGACGAGTTGGATAACTTGATATCCGAGGAAAACTGACAGGTTCGTTGTAGTTTTGAAAGGTGGAAATTTGAAAGGTGGAACCAGAGGATCTCTTTTACTACCTGCTGTTTCCTTTTCTCCTAGAATCTCTTAGCAAAATTCTTTGTTCACAGACAATAAATACAAACTCTTACCAATGACAACAACAATTTGGTAAAGCAAACGTAGTTGCAATTGTGTCTAATTAATTTCACGTTGCAAGAAGAAGAAGAAGAACCATCGCCATATTGTTCATTCCACCACATATTTCTCGTTCATTTGAATGCACGAAGAGATTCCGTTAAAAGCGATCAAGCTTATTGAATAACTCCCCGACAGATCCAACGTTAAATACATTTTTCAATCGTTAAAGCATCCTTGCACCACCAAGATCCATTAAGATCCTCGAGAACAACTCCGACTTGGCTACTCCATTGAATTTCCTCGCCGTCTACGAAGACACTCGATGTTTTAAAGGAATGGACGACGAAAAGAGCACTCCTCCTCTGCTGGGAAAGGGAAACCAAGGAAGAAAAAGCTCGCGTTGACCGGCAGTCTGCGGCTGCAGGCCTCCTCTCTAACTTTTCAAGGTTAGCCCCTTCGAG